GAAATAATCAAGTTAGTATCTTTACTTTGGTATCTTTTGCAAACAGGATTTTAGGAATCTATCAGCCAGGCAAGCATGCTGGCATGTGTGATTGTAGAAATTAGCATGAGTTTATTTGTTTGATTAAGAATTCTTAAATTAACTAAGTTCTTCATTGTGGCTAAGTGCTAGGGTATATTCAGATCATTTGGTAATTACATGTTTGTTTGGTAGGTTGCTGTTTCTAAAGCAGCTCAGGTATTATAACTGATATGTTTTGGTAAGGTGTCTTGGTTGAGAGGAATTTTTATCATATTAATTTATGCAATAATTAGTTTGTTGTGCCTGCTTGAAATCAGACACTGGCCAAAATCATCCTGCAGCTTTTCTCATAGCTGAACCACTTGGATATGGCTTTTTCTTGTCTCCTTACCCCTTTCCATAAAGAATATAGGAAATCAGTTATCTTTCAGACTTACACCCCTTCACCTTAGACAAATTTAATTCCAAAACTTACGGAAGACAGAGCCTCAGGTTTGTAGGAACACATATAGGCACTGTGCGTGTGTATGTTTTGTGCCCATAGACAAAACTGTGATAAGAAGGTTGATACTAGATTTCCTTTTGAAACTGACTTTCTATACGAACAATTTCATTTAATATGTTTACATAGAAGCTGATTAAGCTAATTGGTAAAGCAATTTATATAAATGCTTTTGGAAATGGGCTTTATCTGTGATGTAGTGGAAGGTGATGTAGGTGATGTCTGGCACTGTGCACATGTATGAGTTGGCAGAATTAATATTAATTCTGAACTGTAACTTTGGCTTTGTGTGTTTAGCTGTGCAGCTGCAGTGTTTAACTTACAGCAGTAGGTAGGAATAGCTGAGAATCAGAGAACTGTGGAGGTTGGAAGGGACCTCTGAAGATCGTCTGGTCCAGTCTCCCTGCATAAAGCAGGCTCAGCTGCAATGTATTACTCAGGCAATGTCAGACTGGCTTTTGAGTATCTCCAAGGATGGACACTCCATAGCCTCTCTGGGCAACTTGTTCCAATATTTGATCACCCTCATGCTAAGTTTTTTACTATGTTTAAGCAGAATATCATGTATTTTTGGTTTGTGCCCATTGTCACTTACACTGTCACTGGGCACGACTGGGAAGAGTCTGGCTCTGTCTTTGTTATATCCACACAAGGATAAGAGTGCAGAATCACATACTTGCTGAGGTTGGAAGTGACCTCTTGAGAACATGCAGCCGAACCCCACTGCTCAAGGAGGGTCAGCTAGAGCAGGTTGATCAGCACTGTGTCCAGTTGGGCTTTGAGTATGTCCAAGGACAGAGACTCCACAACCTCTCTGAGCTACCTCTTCCAGTGTTTGATGACCCTCACAGTGAGAAGGTATTTCCTGATGTTCAGGTGGAATATCCCGTGTTTTAGTTTCTGCCCTTTGCCATTCATCTTGTCACTGGGCATCACCGAAAAAGGCCTGTCTCCCTCTTCTAAACTCCATCCCATTAGGTGTTTATACATATAGATAAGAGCCTTCTCTTCTCTAGGCTGAACCACCCCAGCTCTCTCAGCCTTCCTTCATGAGTGTCATAGTTTAACTGCAGCTGGCAAGTAAGCATCAGACAGCCACTTGCTCACTCCCTCCTGGTGGGATGGGGGAGAGAATCAGAAGGGTAGAAGTGAGAAAACTTGTAGGCTGAGATAAAGACTGTTTAATAGGTAAAGCAAAAGCTACCGGCACAAGCAAAGCAAAACAAGGAATTCATTTACTACTTCCCATTGGCAGGCAGGTGTTCAGCCATCTCGAAGAAAGCAAGGCTCCAGCATGCATAATGAAACGCCATAACTCCGAACATTCCCCCCGCCTCTTTCCTTCTTCTTTCCCCAGCTCTATATGCTGAGCATGATGTCATATGGTATGGAAGATCCCTTTGGTCAGTTGGGGTCAGCTGTCCTGGCTGTGTCCCCTCCCAGCTTCTTGTGCATCCCCAGCCTACTCGCTGGTGGGGTGGTGTAAGAAGCAGAAAAGGCTTTGACGCTGTGTAAGCGCTGCTCAGCAATAACTAAACCATCCCTGTATTATCAACACTGTGTTCAGCATAGATCCAAAACATAGCTTAATACAAGCTACTATGAAGAAAATTAACTCTATCCCAGCCAAAACCAGTCAATGAGAGAGATGCTCCCACCCCTTCATCATCTGAGTGGCCTTTTGCTGGACTCTCTTCCAGTAGCTCTGTATCTCTCTTGTACTGGGGAGCCCAGAACTGGACACAGTGCTCAGGCTGTGGCCTCACCAGTGCTGAGGAGATGGCAAGGATCACCTTCATTGACCTACTGGCAACAGTCCTCCTAATGCAGCCCAGGATACCAGTCGCTGCCTTTGCCACCAGAGCACATTGCCAGCTCATGTTCAACTTGGTGTCCCTCAGAACCTGCAAAGGCCTTTTCTGCAAGGCTGCTTTCCAGCCTGCCAGGCCCCATCATGTACCTCATATGCCTGGGGTTGTTCCTCCCCGGGTGCAGCACTTTGCACTTCCCCTTGTTAAGCTTCATGAGGTTCATGTCAGCCCATTTCTCCAGCTTGTCAAGGTCCCTCTGGATGGCAGCACAACCCTCTGGTGTAGCAGCCAATCGTCCTAGTTTTGTATTGTCTACAAATATCACATTGAATTAAGCAGAAATAGTTCCTCTGATTGGGCATAGATAAAACTACGTGTCTGATAGATGCTGAAGTAGTGACACAACAATTCAGTTATTGGTTAAGTGAACATAATTCCAGGTATTGGTGGTTGCAGCATGCCCCCCCTGCCCCGTTGAAATGGGTGCTTTGGGAATGCTTGACTTGGTTTGGGAACGCTAGACTTGGTACTAGGCAGGTAAGTGGATAAAACACACTTCTGAAAAGTTTCTCTCTATCCACTAAAGGAAAGAATATTAGTGATGGAAAAGACAAATTCATAAGTAGATGCTGAAGTAATTTAATTAGAAAAAAATAACCAACCAACCAAAGAACGAATCAGTGCTTCTCTTTCCCCCCCACCCCTCCTTAAACTGTACTAACAATGTTGGAGAATACTGGAAGAATTGAGGGAAGGATGTTAATCTGTATGCCATGATGAAATAACTACTGACTGCTTGGTGTCTTGTATACAGTGAATGGAATGGATTGAAAGGTGTAAAATGATGAATAATGAAGGACTATTAATTTTTTTCCCAGTGAAGAAATAGCATAGAGTTTGTTTTTTGGAGACAGTGTGTGTGCGTATGTATGTGTGTGTATGTACTTCACTGATGTGTATACTTATTTACTACATCTAAAGGTGAAAGCCTAAAAGCTAATTTTGTACAGAGAAATCAAATACCCTGTTTGATTGTATTTCTGGTGTCACTTTACTGTCAGTGAAGCATCGTAAATAGTAAACACTGTCTATTGCACTTTGCAAGGAAGGAAAACAGAGCTTCACCTTTGGTTGTAAATCCAAGTTTCGTTTTCCTGGGACTGGTCATAGGAGCAAGATTATATGTGGAGCTTTAATGGATGGGAATAAATGAAGGGTGTATAATATACAAGCCAGCTGTTTACTACTGAGAGAAGTTATCCCACTTGTACATTTTGAGGTGTGTTTGCCTATATGGACTTGATAATTTAAATGCAAAAATACCCCCAAATTAAAGTGGTACTGATTTTCAGAATGGGAACATTGCAGAAATCTAGTTAATTTCAGTTCAAACAGGGAAAGAAAGTTTGTAGGGAAGGGAATAGAATGTTACTGAAGGTGGGAGTGTGGAAAAAGAAATTTAATTAACTGCTAAGAATGGGGAGTGGTGTGCCAGGTGAAGTGGGGAGGTAAAATGAGAGGAAAAGGGACACAAAAAGCAGGCTAAATGTTGGAATACCAGTAGGAGAGTGAAACATGGAAAGCCATAAAGGCATCTTCCACATACAGCTTTCTTCTGCAGTGATTCATACCAAGCTAGAAGGGATGTGAAGCTAATGAAATTAGTGGCTAATATGCTGACATAAAAGCAAAACTTATGGTGACAGTGTGTGGCATAAAAAACCATGGTTGCATGCATTTTGCAGATGGAGAAAATGAGGAATGAGTTAAATTATATGCTCAGGAAAGCAAAATCACTAAAAAGCTAGTCACAGTCGAGTTATTTGTATTCTGGGATGAGCTTTTTTGTAAGATTAAGGAATAATTTTGTGAACAATAAGATGGCACATGGAGATGTATAGTTGGAAATTGAAACATCTGCTGAAGCTAAAATACATCTGTCAGTTGCCTAAAGATCAGTCCTTTCATGAGTACTGTATCTTGGTATGAAACAGAAATATGACTCTGGTTTTAGCCATCCTCGATGTAGAAGTGGAAATAAGAGGAAACACTGATTGTCTTTGTGCATCACTTGCATGATTTGTCTCTGTTGAAGAGGTTTCAGAGAATGAGGGGTAATACAGTCCTGTTGTTAAACTGCTGATTTGAGAGTTAGGAAATCCAGGTGTTCTTTCTCTGTGTTTGCAGTGTGAGTGGGAAGTGAGTAATCAGTTTTCCCCATATACTAAATGGAAATAGTGATATTTTATCAAATATGTAGCTTTGTTACTCTAGATTGTGCCTGTGTTATATAAATCTCTAGACAGAGAAATGCAGCAACCTGCAGATGGATCAACACAGGAAGATGCTAGTTTGATGTTAAAGGTTAACTTGAGAAAATGTGCCATAAAAACAGAGATATGGACTGGACTGTATAAATGTTAATCATGATAGTGTTCGTGCTGGGTAAGGGCTGAGTATCCTTAAAGGAGTAAGGAGAAAAAGTAAACATTTGTTTTATGCCTTTTATACTAGCATGGGCAGAGGATTTCGGAAGCTTTTTTCCTGTTTGAAACATGTATGCAGAATCTCAGAGTTTGTTTTACAGATTATTCTCTTCAGTGTACGTTATTTTATTTGCCTTTTTTTTTTTTTTTTTTTTAAAGCTGGATTGAAAGTGAAGCACAATGGCTGCTGTCATCTCAGATAGTCCTCCAAACCCAAGCTGCAAAATCATGACATTTAGGCCTTCGATGGATGAATTCAGGGAGTTCAACAAATACTTAGCGTACATGGAATCACAAGGTGCTCATAGGGCTGGAGTTGCAAAGGTAAACATCTATAATGTAGAAGGAAAATTGTTCCTAATACCTGTTTTCCCAGTATTTGTTATTTGTTGATTGCAAAACTGACCTTTTTAGTATTTAACATTTTTTCCAAATGATTTTCAATGAATAGATATTGATCTGTTACTCTTAAGAGAGAGCTTTTTGGTATCTCTGATATTTTGTGCAAACTAATGAAGACGATTTATACTGTTTTGTCTCTAACCGTCACTTATTTCCATGTTTACAATAGCAAAAGAGGATCTCTTCTTAAGGCAGATTTAAACTAGTTTTTGGCAAATCAGAACAAAATAGGGAGTTCATAGTATAAATTGGAAAGTCTTGATATACCAGATGTTGAACTCGGTCTTTTAGGGTTGTGTATAACTGTATACTGGAGCAAATAATCCCAATACAGTCAATGGGTGTATGCATGAAGATAGTGAGGCACTATTCTAATGGAAATAATTTTCTTTTTAATGGTGATGGTGTTATCTTTTTGTTAATGAGAATTGGAGGTACTGCTAACTACCATTGCATTGCCCTTTGAACAATAGTATATCCAGGATCTTACAGCAGGTGTTCCTCACCTAATGGAGAGTGATTATCAGAGATTAAGTCTGATGTAATTTAGTGTTACATCATCTAAGTATTTATGCTGTATCTGTTTTGCCACTTTTCAAACCAGCAGGACACAGTGCAGGTCTAGAAATCCTAGCTTAGTTATTGTAAGTAGTCAGTGGGAATAGCTGTCTTCATCACTGGGTTTTTAAGCTAATGTTGCAAAGTCAAGACATTTAAAAATTGAGAGAAGAGAAACAAACCCTGCAATTCTTGGATTCTCCCTGCCCACTCCCTCCTCCCTGCTTCCTGTAAAACAAAGCAAAACTGAGCCCCTTACACTTTGAAAACCTTGTAGTTTATTTGCTTCCTAATTTCTGAGGGTAGAGTACATATAGGTCATATTTTCAAACTCTTCTTTGCAAACAGGAGTAGAAATGTGATAAATGGACAACAAAGGAAAGCCTGAGCTTAATTTTTCACATATTCAACTATATTATGGAACATATTTGTTTGTGTGGGAATAAACTATTGCAGTCCTCTCATCTTGAACAGTAAACTTTAGTGACATCTGCTCAACAGATTTAAGCCATTAACATGTATGTAAGCAGGAGATTCTAGCTATGTGTCATTCTGTGGATTACGTACATGGACTCAACGTTAAAAAAAAATCTCATTATAATATTGTTTATATAAATATCTTTATTTCAACTGTTGGTAGTTTCTAATCCTGTTTCATGGGGATCTAGCCAAAGAAATAGAAAGTGCCTTATGACCAGCCACTGAGATGATACTGATTTTCTTCTATTTCAATCTGTTTATTCATATGTAGTGTGCTTGCTTTCTTTGGTATGTTGTGTATAAAACAAAGACAGGTATGCATAAATTGTACTCCTTGCTTTCTCTGCCTATATGAGGAAGCTATTATATGAACCAGGATTAGTGTGTAATATGTTTGGAAAAAAAAAACCCCTAAAAATGAACTAGTTTTGTTTAAAAAGAAGAATAGTTGTGATATGCTCTTTATCATGACTATGTCTGTCCTAGACTGCAACTAATCTTTTCATTTGATAGTATTCAAAACCAGAAGCTTCTTAATTTCAAAAACAAAACGAAACCAAACACCTTATTTAATTTTCCTTTAAAGACTGTCTATCTATTTACCTCTTTGACAGTTCTCAGGAGGTTTATCATCAAATACGATACTGAAATGCTTAAAAAGCCTATGCAAGCTTCTGTTCTCATTTCTGAGACATTCATAATAAAGAGGAGCTTCAGTTACTCTCCGTGAGGTTTTTTTGTAGTGCTTATTTTCTGTCAGGGATTGAAGCAGCTGGAAATGCTGGTCAGTGGCTTCCTGATACGTGGTGCTCAGTGCTCCTTTGAGGCTGCTGGTATACTTAAGATTAGCTGTGGGACTAAAATATGTCATGGTTTGAGCCCAGTGTACTAATCATTTGTGTGTGTGAACTTTAGGATATCTGGAAAAGTATAGTTTTCCATGTCTTGGCATTCTTGGTTACAAAATTTCAGCCAGTAGGTAGTGTAAAAAGACAATGAATTTGTCTTATTGGAAATATTCTTCAGATTTTTTTGAGACGTGAATATAGCTTCAGTCATTGTTCTGTTTTGGTTCCTTATCTTGATTCTGGTTCTGGTTCCTTCCCTGCCATCCAGCAATTAAACCTCCATGTGCAACCAGTGTAGGAGAAAAGGGCAGAGCCATTGAGGATGTCATGAGGAGAGCAATGGGCATAGTAACATTAGGAAAGAAAGAAAAGAATGTGAAACAATTTTGCCTTTATTGTATAATTTAAAATTTGTGTAATGTTGCTGTCATCTTCATATCCTTACTTCTGGTGTTCATAGAATCATAGAATCGTTAAGGTTGGCAAGGACCTCTGTGATCATTGAGTCCAACCTGTTAGCCTAACTGCCTCGTCCACCTCTAAACCATGTCTTTAAGCACCACATCCACATGTTTTTTGAACGCTTCCAGGGACTGTGATTGTACCACTTCCCTGGACAGCCTGTTCCAATGCCTAACCATTCTCTCCGTGAAGAAATTTTTCCTAATATCTAATCTAAATCTCCCTTGGCACAACTTGAGCCCATTTCCTCTTGTCCTATCACTTGTTCTACTCTCTCTCTCTTTCTCTCTCATGAACTCTTTAAGGAGGTATCTTTGTGAAGATTCTGGATTAACATAATTTTCTGCAGTAATCAAGCATTAGATTAATTCTTGCATATATGAAATGTGTATGATCTGAATATACAGTTATTACTGAAAAGCAAAGATGACATAATATCAGTAAAATATACTAATGCTGTCATTTTAAAAAGAGTGGCATTTAATGTTAATATGTAAAATTTGTTTCCTGTAAACTGCTTTGAGGTTGAAACACCTTGAAGGAACATTGTAATGGGCCAAAGTAGTAGTTATCTTTTTAGGTTATGCACAAGAATATGTAAAGCTGACTTTTTAAAAATACTAGATGCAACAGTGACATCTACCAGATGTTTCAGTGTTTTAAAGAGTATAATGCAGATGTTTGTCTGTGGAATGGATGCAGGCATATACTGTATTTAAGTTACTTTAACACTAATCTAGTAAAAAATTGGTCTAAAATGGTGATTGTGGCAACAGAAGAACAGAGGTTAGGCTGTGGTCTCTTCTTCTTCACTGTGGTGTAATGCTGCAAGATGTAGATTAGAATCCCATAAGTGAATTGAAAATGAGTTGGGGAGTCCATTCCAGTAATTTGACAATCAAAGTACTTCAGAGATATGACACCTTTCAGGATTAGTATGAGAAGCAGGCAGTAAATTTTCAATGCATATCCCTAGTTAACTCTGTTTAACCCGTATTAATTTTTAAATTTTCAAGCTACATTTTTTTTTTAAAATGTAATTAAATACAAATTGAAACCACTTTCTTTCTTGATGAGATCATGAGCTGCTTCCTTAAGGATGAATCTTTCAGTGTTGCCGCCATTATCAAACTATAGCTATTTATTTTGTAGGTTGATCTGGCCTATACAATTTTTTTCAAAAAAAGAAATGATATTTTTTCTGGTTCTCTCATTAACATAATCTCTCAATGAGGTGATTATTATATCTCATTATCAGGTAGTAGGGATGGAAAAATTTGGCTACAAATTACTGTTTCTCTCAAATTGTCCACATACATGCAATTAAGAGAAACTGAAAATTAGCAGAGTCTTAAAAATAATTCCAAGATTTGATTTACAGAGGTTATTGCTACTTTTATAGCACTTAGTTTCATATTGTTTCTGTTGAAGTCACAAAAACCGAACATATCCAATAAGGGCAGAATTTGGCCATGTAGTCAGGGATTTGTGATATTTTGCATAGTATGATTTGGCTTGTTTGAAGTTAGTATCCCTGTGCTTTTATGATTGAAAATTTGTGTCTCCATTTTTTGACCATACACCTAGGATTTAATTCCCATTCCATCTATCACATTTCAAAACCATTTGGGAAGCTCTTCTCCACGTACAGCTTGTTAAAATGTGATAGTCACAGGAGAACAAAAAGTGCTTTTATTTATCTGTATTTATATGCATGTGGGATATCTGCTGCACTGGATTTATAGAACACCTGGAATAATGTCTATGATACAAGAAAGCATAACAAAACCTTTTAAAAATGGTTAATTGCATTAGTCATGTTTCAGTTGTACTGTGACTGAGGAAGGGCCCTTTTAACCATTCTGTGTAGCTCTGCTTTCTGCTTCTTCTGCTTGATACTAGAATAGCAGTTAAAACATCTCTAGCTGTTTTCAGCCTGCCGGTTAGTTGCTACATATTACTCAGTTGTCTTGAGACTTTTTATATTCTAATTGCCACTATTTTTTTATATATCTCAAAAAAATTATATATAAAAAATAAACCAACTAAGTATTTTTAAAACAAATCTTACCAAGTCAATAATTCATACTGCAAAAGTTTAAGGGACATTTTCTGAGTTTTGGAAATTGAATTTAAAATAACAAGAATAAAATATTTTTTCCTGTTTTGATAGTAATATAAAGTGAACTTACAGAGGACTTAATTTGTGTTAAGTCCAGGATGTACAGACTCAACTAGGAATGCAAAGAGAATAAAGACTATCAGAAGAGCTGTATGCGTATGCAGAAACAGTAATTTAAACAGAGGTCATAAGCAGAATAGGCATACCCAACATTTAGGTTATATGTGAAAGTGTAAGGGGAGAAGGCCTCTCACCTGTGTGGAAGAATATGTGTATGTAAATAGGGATAAAAATGGCTTTAAGGCTTGCACATGTTGTCGGAGAGGGGAGTGTGGGGAATAAAATATTAGGGAAAAAAGTTCCTAATACTACGCCTGAAACAAATGATTAAGGTACTAGACAAACAACATTAAACCATTTCCAGAGCAGATAATATACTGTGGCATCCCTGGAGCAAATTGGCTAAAAATTTCTGTTAGGCTTTTGAAAGTCTGCAATGAGCTTTAGGCATAGATAATGTATTTTAGTTTTAATGTTACAGCAGATCCTATACTTACAAGGGAAAACAAGGAATAAAAGCAATAGAACAAATGAGAAACAAGGCACACTGATAGAGTAGTTGCTCTTTACTTGAATAAGAAATGTTTTGGAGTCTCAAACTGCATTTATATAGAGCGAAATAGTTAAATTAATTTGCAGTCACATTGGCAAGTAGAAAAGTAATTTTGGAACATGATACTGAAAATAGATGTTGGCAAGTACAAGAAAAACAATTTTCAGAAGAGTTGAGTCAGAAGTAGCTACATAGAAATAGTAGCCAATGCCATTCAGAATCAAATGTAGAACAGGAGACAGTATACGAAAGGATTTAACAGAAATTTATGCGTTGATAGCACTCTGAAATAACCTCAGTTGTACTACTATGCAGCCTTCATGGAGGAGACTGAATGGTATAACTAAGACATTCCTATCTAAAACAGAATATATATCACACTAAAAAACATTAGACAGTGTTAATATGCATAGGATGTTTGAGATCTTCCCCCACCTCCACCAATGAAAAGGCCTTGCCTTAGGTTTTTCCTTTTTTATATTTGAGCATTGAACAGCTTGGCTGGTGAATTCGATCTAGGTTCCTTCCATGGAATAAACTTAACTTGCCTGACTTTGAAGAGGTTATTTTTACTAATGGGAATGAGAAGAGGCTTCAGTGGGACAGGTCAACGGTAAAAACTCAGAGACCTAGTCGTTATTTCCAGGTCTGATACTGACTAGCTGTGTGTCACTTTGGACATGATATTTTAACATCTCCAGTCCTTGCCCAGACCTTTGTTAGAAAATGCAAATTTTTGGGGGCAGGGACTCTATTTTTATTTTGTTTTAAAATGATGCTTAGCATATTGGTCTCCACAAAATTCACTTCTCTAACTAGTACTCTAATTACAGCAATAATAAACATGCTCCAGTTAGCTGGAAGAGGATATTTTGAACCTGTATTCACAAAAATATTGTTATTGCTTAAAACATGCTGACCTTGAATTAAATAAGATAATGCAAATTTTGCTTTTTGGTATTCATATATTTGAGCCAAACCTACAAGTTCGTGCTTAATAATCATGAAAATGGAAATCTCTGTGCACATATTTGATTTCTATGCATATATTCTGAATGCATGACTTCTCTGCTTCCAAACCAACATCTTGTATTTTGTTGATGTGAGTATAATTTAAGATTTGTTTGAAAGAAATAAGTAGGAATCACAAGATGATTCAATTATTTTTTTTCTCTGAAAGTAAACAACAATGAAACTTGCTAAATAGTCTCTGTACAACTGAAGTCCCATGGAAGCTGAGAAGGAAAAAAGGAAAAGAGGGAGTTGCATCTGTGTAAAAACTGGATAAAAATGCCTGTTTATGTTTAAAATAAAAACATTAGGTATGGAAGTATGTTACTATTTGATAACTTTTCTTCAGCTTGATGTTTCTGTTTTGGTGTGTGCTTGCTAGCATGAATGGTCTTGATCAGATTTCTTCGAGGGATGGGCTGTTTGAGTACATTAGCATTACAATTTGCCTATTTGTGATTATTTTCCAAAGGCAGCAAATGATCTCAGGATCCATCTGTGTTATTTTTTTAGAATTTTTTACTTTCTTGGAGTGATGTAATAGCAAAATCTCTAATGGACAATATTTTGTGTAATCCTGAAATGCTTATTAGAGGAACAGCCTAGCTAGTCTAGTGTAAAGGCTATGTCTAAGATGTGAATTAATTATTCAAGTAATGTAATTTGTACGTGGTAGATTCGTGTTTATGAAATCCATCCTACTCTGTTGTATATTACTTTAAAAGTTTCCAAGCCAATGCCTGTGAAAATTTGATTTGAGCTCCATGGAAAAGCATGAATATAATGAGTGGATCAAAGAACATATGGGCAAGTAAAAGTTCAAAACAAATATATATATTAAAAATGTCTGTGCTGTGTTTTAAAACTGTTGCAATTTCAAATCTAGAGTTTTCTGTTTTCACATAAAATAATAAATGCAAGGAATGTTCAAAATTGCACAGTCTGTAAAAGAACACTGGTGTGACTACAGGCTTCTTTGAAATTCCTAATGAATTTATTGCTGACACTTTAGAATCTGCTGAGGAGTTTTTGTAGACTTTGGGCAATTTTGTGGTATTTGCAATAAAAGTGTTAACTTTACAAATGGTTAATCTGCACATAGCTTTAATCTTTAATTATGAGGTTTAAATCACGTTAATATAAAAATTAGTATATCTAAATTAGTGCAAACTCTTACTTTAATAGAGTTGTTCCCTGCAGTTTTATGGGGATTAAGCTGAACAGACTCTAAAATCTAAACCTCTCTAAAATAGCTTTATTTTTTTTTCATTTTTTCAGTAAGAAATAAAGTTATTCATACTGTTTGCACCAAATAACATTTGGACAGGGGACTGTCAATCTTTTGTGTGAATCTAAATTTCTTTTTTTTTTTTTAAATTGAGGATAACAATTTTATATCATGGAGTATGAAGTGTTTGTGAATTATAAGGCTTTCTGGTTATAAAATATTTGTCTGTTCTGTTATTATACATGTGTATGTTTGCACAGTTGCACATGGTTGAATTGCTATAGATTACTGAGTTGCTTCTTCTGAATTAAGGTAATACTATACCCATTTTGAAGTGGTATCTGCATTATCTAGGAGCACTTACATGGTCAGTTAGTTCCTGTGAAACAGCTGGTAAGGAAGCGTTCATTTGATGATGTGGGCATATTTGACTTGTTCTTTTGATTTTTCCAAAGTGGTTTGAATTGGTATTGCAACTGTTGATGTCCTGTTTTCTATTTCTGAATTTAAAGGTTATCCCACCAAAGGAGTGGAAGCCAAGAAAACATTATAATGATATTGAGGATTTGGTGATTCCTGCTCCAATTCAGCAGATGGTCACTGGCCAGTCAGGGCTCTTTACACAGTACAACATTCAGAAAAAGCCAATGACAGTGAAGGAGTTCAAGCAGCTGGCCAACAGTGACAAGTATGTATTTGGGAGGGTCTTGCTTAGAAAGACAAATATTTATTTGTTCCTGTATTGTGGTTTCTTTGAATTGTGCTAGGCAGCTGGTGATTTTTTTCACTTACTCAGTACAGGCTTTCCTGTCTCCTAAGTTGTGGAAGGGTACCACAGTATGAATCTTGTTTGTGTTTCTGTTGTTGAAAGCATTCTGTGCCATGGCAGCAAGAAAGCATCTGAAAAACCTGAGACGTGATGGTTTCTGTCTACCTTTTTTTTCTTTCTGTTCTAACAAATGCTTATGTTGAAAATAATGATGATGATACAGACTTATATTTGAGTTTTGTTTTGAGTGCACTTATTAATGTTCAATATTTAGTTCTTTTTTTTGGCCTAGATACTGGAATGGCCTATCATCATGTAATTCTGAAAAAAACCCAACATCTTTTTTAACTCACCCGGAAGTTTTTGCATTAATCTAAGAGAACTCAACTGCTGCACCTAGCGAATGTCTACATTCTGGTTATGGCAAGATGGACATTAAGGGAGGGGAAAAAAAGTCTATGAAGGGCTAGGTACTATACTAAAAAGTTTCAAATTGGTGGGCATTCCAAGAAGAGGGAAGTGATAGAAGGAATTCTTCCCCATTCCTTTTGGCCATATAAAAAGAGTAAATTCTACTTTAGTATTTTCTCAAAACTGACTGGAAATAGTTTCTGGAAGGTGAGTCAAAGGATCCTAGAGAGAAAAGATATTTGAATATAATGAAGGAAGGTAACACTGCCCTAGTTTGAAGGAAAGTTTTCATAAGTTAATTTAAGAAATTAAGAGGTAAGAAGAGAAGCTGTTATCAAGATCAGGAAAAACTAGGACATGAAGAGCTTTTGAAGAGGATCCTCAACAAACGTTCCATAATATCCATGCCTGTGTGGAAGTGCAAAAATGATCTCCTTTTTTCAATTAAAAATGATTGGTATGTTTCTGCCCATATATTACTGGTGAAAAATTAAGGCTATCACACTTAAAATTTTTTTCCTTTGGTAAGTGGGAATGGGAACCTATTTTGTAGTTCTTAAAATTATTTGTTCAGGAACTGTTAGAGGGGAGAATAAAATATAAAATCTGTGTAGTATCTGATGTAATTTTCTGTGATACTTGTTCATATATGTTTAAAGTTTACATTTGATTAACCCATGGTAAAATGAGAAACACTAATTTCTTAAAATAGTTTGATAATGCAAGGATACTGTGAAGGTTTTAATATGTATCATGATAGTTAAATTTATTATATTCTTTCTCAGGGAAGATATTTTGGAAATGTTTCTGACTTTCAGTTTTCATGTTTTTTACTGAAATCAGTTTAAAACGTCATAGGTAAAGTTAAGAGCAGTTGGGAGGGTTTCTTACCTATTAATAGCTGTAGGTCTTTCTCCATATTCATTACTGCTCTTGAGAAAATGTGTCATGTAACCTCTTTTGACATTCTTAATGCACTCTGTATTTCTTAAACTATTAAGTAGCTGAGAACCCCTATTCTCCCATAAAAACAATTTTGTTCCTTAATGAAGACGACTTCTCTGTTAAAGACTCTTTTCTGAGTATTGTGATGTTATCCATTTCCTTTGGGAAAGAGAGAAGGGCCATGAACATACAAATTAAATCATAGTTGCCTTTAAAAGGGTTGTGTGTGCTCAGTCTAATGCATTGCATCTTCCATTTGTTTAGGCATTTGCGATTCACCATTGAACCAAGGTGCTTCTCCACCTTGACCTCTGGGAAATACGGGCATATCTGCATCTTGTAATCAAGATACTTGTGTTATGGTAACTGAGGTTATGTATCCATATTACTCAGTGCCAAGCAGAAAAACAATCTGGTTTCTGGAGCCATATCATGAGAAATAATTGAAACAACTCCATTGCTGAGAATGCTTTGGTTAAGATGCCTTTTGCTAACTTGCTTGTCTCTGTTCTGTGTTATTGCATGATGTAAATGTACCTGGTCTACTTAATTCTTGTATGTTTGGATTTTCTTTCCAGTAGTTCAAGTGTAGCAAGTTGGCAGTGCTAATGTGAAACTTTACTTCCCAGAGTTGCAGTAATGGGGGAAATTTTTCTTTTCTGAAGTCGTAAATGTGGGAGAACAGAGGCCTGACAAAGGATCCTGATGCAAAAGCTATTGATGGATGTTTTCTATGGTAGTGTGCTTGTATTGTGTTCCCATTAGATTTTACATGAGGTTTGAGTAACCCTCCAAAAGTATATACATAAGTATATTTATGCATGTAAAAGTGTGGTGCCCTGTGCTGCACTAATGGAGTAAAAATAAAAATTTCCTTAAATGTTTTTTTTCACTGCATGGTAAAATTTTTGGTATCAGCTGTTTGAAACATTATGCCTTTTCTGAAAAGGTTTTCCTGGGGAAGGAATAAGAGAAGAAAGTACTGTTTTTGCCTGGCAGGGCTCCTGCTTGGCAGAATTAGTACATTTGGGTTGGTCTGAGACAGGCTTGTGCAGGACCTTCCTCTGTGTCTTTGCAGAGCTGGTAGTGAGGCAGGAAAATAACAAATACTGTCAATTAATTGGCTTTGCCGTGTGTGATTTTTCTGTGGAAGAGAAACAAAAGGGAGGGCCTCAGCCTGAGGACAGTCAGTAGATGTGCTGTTCAGCTGCTGGAGACTGAGGAAAATGTTGTATGGGTAGGTATATGACTTCAGTTACTTTAGCTGCCAGGTAGGAGGTTACATGCTATGGTGAATCATGAAACTAAGAATTCAGGACAACTAATAAGGCCTCTATTTCAGTGAATTTGGAAAAAAGTGATCTCTTAGAATTCAATTTGCAATATCAGAAGCATAGTCCATTGTGAAGGTGGTTGTTGAAAGACTATGCTGAACCTTTGCTTACCTCTTCCTCTGCAGATACTGCACCCCAAGATACGTAGATTATGAAGATCTGGAGCGTAAATACTGGAAGAACTTGACTTTTGTAGCACCAATTTATGGAGCAGATATCAATGGGAGCATTTATGATGAAGTATGCATAGCTTTTTATGAAGTTTCTCTCTTCCAGCCCTCTTTTAAAGGGTACTATATTTAGAGGATACATTCTTGCTTTGTGACTGAGAATCTGTCTGTCTTTTGAAATCTTTGTGTTACTCGCTTTAAAGACTCCAAGCAAGGTTGAAATTAACTCTACATCTGCAAGAGTCAGACAGTTCTGTCCTTAGACAGTAGGATATTGCTGCTCTTCCTGATCATGAGACTCTGCCTTTTCTTCACTTTGAACTCTCCAGAACTTTGAGATTCCTTCCTATTTATTTATTTGTTTATTAACATTTCAGTATGCATGCTTTCTGTGTACCTCTGTGGAAATCTAGTGATATTTTAAATAATGTTTACTTCAAAATTAAAAGATGAAATACTTTATTTTTCTCTCTTTCACTGAGGAAAAGTGATAGCTGTACTTCATACATGCTTGGAATGCCTGCAGTTCCCTGGAAATGTGCTTACAATTACAGTGTACCTCTGAATTAAAGTAGATGAAGTGGAAACTTCCTAAGGAAATGAATTTTGCTGGTTACTTGCAAAGATCTCCATGGATAAAATGGGACTCTAAACACAGATCTCATTATCCAAAGAATTACAGAATATCCATTGATACCAATTAGGCTATGTAAGTAGCTATAGGAACTAGATTTTGAAAGGATTATTTAAGTAATGAGACTAACAGAAGAAATGTTAGCATTTCAAAAAAGATTTGAGGATTTAAAAAATACAGGGCAAACTTGTCCAGACGAATCTACCATGTGTGGAGTTCTTGAGTTATTTCATGTTCTATGTAACTGCCTTATCCAATCATTCAAAAAAAAAAAAGATAGACTTTGCCTGTGGCAGATGGTCTGAGACTGTGCTAATGTTTCATATTTCTTCACAGAAGATAAATTACTTGAAGACTCTGTCCAAAGATAAATACAGTCAACCAAGATGGCTTAAGGCAATTCAATTTTTGCACTAGGTTATGTGATCTTTGAAAGATAGCTATAAATGTCCAGTGGTCTGTTGTTTAGAGAAAGCAGAAAGTCCAAATTTTATTGTGTGTCCAAATAGCTGTATAAAAATGATTTAGAAAATAATTGAACATTCTGATTTGGGGTGTTTTTGTGAAGAGACATTCTAGATGGCTGTAGCTTTGTGGAGACCAAAATGGGGCACAGGAAAGCAGTGTTTCTTTCAAGAAAGAGAAGCTTGCCCTTTTTCTTCTCTGATTTTTTTTTTCTTTAATATTGGCAGATAATACCTTTCGGCTTGGCTTTTTACAAATGTGCACTTTGTTTTGACTGTATTTTCTTTGGTCTTTAGTATCTTAAGGTTACTATTTCTAGTAAGGTTACAACATTTCCAAAGAAAAGAAAATGCAGTAGTATCCAGTTTTGAAGGGCTGACTGGTCAAAGAAAAGGTCAGAGATTTCCTTTTCAAGGAATTGCACTCTCATTAGATTGGGAGGCTGAGGAAGGGAGATCAAAAAAGCAAAGGGTGAAGTGCGATGAGCAGCATTCAGCAATCCTAACTCAAATGTTAGGTGCATAGGAAGGGGAGACAAAGAAAGCACTTGAAGCTATAGGGAGTGGGGAATAAAGGAGTGAGGAAGAAGACAGTAATAGTTTGAATAAAAAAACGTTAATGGCTGTGATTAAATGGGTATTATTTAAAAGCAAACAACAAAGGAGAAGTGTTAGTGAAAGGAATAGACACTGAGGAAAGAGAGTGCACAGACTGAGCAGTTAATGTGACAGCCATGTCACGGTCTACAGTGCAGTGGGGTTTAGAGGAAAAGAAGGAAAAACCCCTGGTACCAAACTGTTGGTGAAAAAGTTATGAATGCCACTGATCAAAATGTTTTCTCTTAGAATATTTTTGCCGAAGTTAATTTTTGGCCAGCAGATGGTGTACTTGCACAACTAATATTTTTCATGTCTTACACTTGAAGAAAGTGTAAGAAAGTATCTTTTTGATTCTGTTTCAAATTAGAGGTTGTTCTTAGGTCTTCATTCAGCTTGCTTCAGGATTGTCATTATTTAGGGAAAGGAGATGAATACAAGTAGCTGATGTTTTGGGCAACCTACAGCAGAAAGGGGATGGCTGGATTAATTTGTCATAACAGCCTATTTGCAATAAACAAAACCAAATGCTTACTTTTTACAAAATGCATTTTATAGAAAACAGTGTGTTATTGATGTTGCATTTAATACAGAAAGGTAAATATCTGGCACAATACCAGGTAGAAAAACACCAGGAGCTTAGTGAAAGTATGATGCATATGTGTAATTGAACCATCAAAATTAGTGAGAAATGCTGCTGTGCTACAAGTCATTATCCTTTAGTTTAAAAGTTTACCAATTATGTTTTCTTTTCCACATGGTAATGTTCAATTTTACATTAAGACATCCGTATCTGAAGCATGATGAAGCCTTAATTTTTACTATTTAGATTGTTTAAGAAACAATGATGTTATTTGTGGAATCCAGCACCTTGCTGACATTGTGCCGGAGAGATCATAGATCTTGAAGTATTGTTTGTTTTTCCTAGATCAGAGGATGACAGATTCTGAGGGGTTTGGAAGACGGGGCAAAGTTAAAAAGCCTGTGTTATATGGAACAGCAAAAAACCCCAAACAAACAAACAAAAAAACCAACAACAACCAAAAAAACCAAAACCATCCACACAGGAACAAAGCTGTAAATGCATGCTTTGAAATTTGACAACTACCATCAATGAGTCAACGTTTACCCTTGTGATATTTGGATTATTCCAGAATCTCTGTTGTGTATTTATAATGTATTTATTGTTATTTGACAATTCCGAACATAGATTAAATCTTTATGAATAAGGAAATAACCTATGAGAACAAGTGTTTTTTACACTGTATAGAGCTTTGTAGAAAATAAATTTAAGATAGTTGAATGTTTGCTTGAAATATTATTCTGTGCTGTATGCATTTTAATTGCTGTTACATTTAATTACAGTGCTTTGTAGGAGGATGACAATGTAGGTGACTCAAGAAAAAGCATTGCACTAAGGAACAGATTGTAAGGATCATTATTTATATTAAGATTGTAAACATTATTTGATACATGTTCAAGGTTCTGTCTTTTTGCTGCTATAAGGTCGTCTGGACTTGAGTGAAAATTAATATTCCTGAAAGAGTTTATAATGTCAAGAGTAAAGCACCAGTCTCGCTAGCTGCAATTGTTAAACTGATTTCTGAGTTGATTATGAACACCTAAGAGTTATGATTGTTTAGGAATTTTAATCGAGAAGTGATGATTTATTTTTTTATTGTGTTATACACAAGACATACATAAGACAGCTGTCTTCCTTGTGAGTTAGCACGAATATAATGCCAACTTCAGCCAGCTTAGACAGTGAATGACTAGGCTGTGAAACAGTTGCAAAAAGTTACTGTTCCTGTCAGGAAGAGGAAGGAAGGGAGTTATTTTGTTTCTGATATCATAACTTTATTAACTTTTTATTAACTTTTCTGGCAATTGTACCTGTGAGTAAATTGAAGAGTGTGATTCACCTACTTTTTCTGTACAGTTTCTATTCTGGTGAACTACCATTAGGCCTTCTACTTCCATAACATTCCCAACTGTTGTTTAAATTAAACCACCAATCCCTGAGGCCACAAATTAAGTTGTTTCCTTGTTGGATGAGATACAAGGAGCTCAAATCAACTTTTTCTGTTTCCTGTTTTTTTTGTTCGTTTGTTTGTTTTTTAATTAATGTGAAATTGTATTTGTATGGACAGATGGGGAAGATGTATGAAACCCCTACATGGACTGATCTAGAAACTAGGGGGAAAAGAATCTTCCTGGTTTCAGAGGGAGTTCCAAAGAAAAGTGACTGATTTGATGTTTATAATGGGTCATAAAACACATCTGACTTCAGTGCCATCAATGGTATCTGCTATTTGGTAGAGAAAGGTTAGGGTTTGGAAGCAGCACGTATAAATGTTGTCTTGCCTCTCTCTCACCACTCTTCGGCTCCTGTCTTGAAGAGATCACTTTAGTTCTCCTTTCTTTCTCTTAGTTTTATTCCTCCTGATAAGACAATTTCTAATGCCTGCCTTCTCCCACGGCTAAGCTGTGGGGAGCATATTTGATTAGTAATACACAAATGATTGAGTCAGTGGAGTTTGTAGGCTAACAGTTGGTTATTTGTGCTGAATTGTAGGTGCATCTCTAACGTAATATTAACTCTAGCAAGAGATGGACTCAAGTTTTGTGCTGTATCCCTTGACAGAGGAGCTAACTTGATTTTAAAGCAGCACCTTGACGTTATATGTAGAGTTTGGATTTGACCATGAAATAAGTTAGGGATGGCATCTGAGTTGTAGCTTAACCTAAGGCTGCAGGAGAGCAGCAGGTGTAAGCAATGCAAGAGTCTCTGGAGGGCCTCAGTGACAGTTTACTGACCAAAGCTGTCTGCTGGACCTTCTATTTATAAACAAGGAAGGACTTGTTGCTGATGTGAAGGTCGAAGACAGGCTTGGCTGTAGTGACCATGAGATGGTGAGGTTCAGGATCTTAGGAGGTGTCAAGACAGAAAGCAGGACCACAACCTTGGTTTTCAGGAGAGCAGACTTTGGCCTCTTCAGTGATCTGCTTCGAAGAGTCCTGTGGGATAAGGCCCTGGAGGGAAGAAGGGCCCAAGAAAGCTCATTCATATTCACCTCCTCTAAGCTCAAGGGTAGTCCATCCTAATGAGCAGGAAGTCAGGCAAAAATGTCAGGGGTCTGCATGGATGAGCAAGGAGCTTCTGACAAAACTCAAGCATAAACAGGAAATACACAGGAGGTAGAAGCAGGGACATGGAACCTGGGAGGAATACAGAGACACTGACGAAGTATGGAGAAATGCAATTGAGGACATCAAAGACTACTTGGAATTGAATCTGAGAGGTGTCGAAAGCAACAAGAAGGACTAATGTAAGTGTACTGCAGGGATCAGTACTGGGTCCAGTCCTGTTTAACA